TGGAGAAGGATGTCATGCTTGGTAGGGTGGAGGGTCGACAAAAGAGGGGGAGGCCTTCAACGAGATGGATTGATACGGTGGCTGCGATGATGGGATCAAGTATAGCAGGGATTGTGGGGTTGGTGTGGGATCGGGCAGTGTTTCGTTCTGCCGTGCATGGGGTCACTATGAGTCGGAAATGACTCGACGGCACTTAACAACAACAACAACAACAACGTCTCCCGAGAGCTCTGGTAGCGTAGTGCCTAAGGCACTTGACTGCTAACCACAAGGCTGGTGGTTCAAACCCACCAGCCACTCCTCAGAAGGAAGATGGGGCAATCTACTTCTGTAGCGATACTGCCTCGGAAACCCAAGGAGGGGCCGCTATGATTCAGGTCCGACTCGATGGCACATAACAACAGCAACGTCTCCAGAAGCATCCTTCCTCTCTCTATCCTGACCTGCACCACCCTACGTGACAAGAAAAGCCTCTACCAGTCCCAAGGAGCACAAACCTGAGGCTGTTGTCAATGTCGCATGAATACCTAGCCAATACACCCGATAGCCTGTCATCATGCCCATCAGAGGCCCTGTACACCTCTCTGGTACTGCCCTCCCTCCTGGGCACCTTCACAGGCCCCCAGAGGTGGGTGAGGTGGGCCCAGCTTCCTCCATCACCAACCCCATCTTAGACACTCAGCATGAACACAGCCCCCGGCAGAGCAAAGTGACCTCTGTCCCTGGACACTGACCGTTCTGTCTCTCCTCGCTGGCACCTCGGAGCACTGCTGCCCACTGCTGAGCCTCCTGGGGGTTGGCGAAGTGCAGGCTGAAGGGCCCAGGGCCTCCGGGTGGAGGCTGCAATTCATGCAGGCCGGGGCCGCGAACGGTGTAGGAGACTGACTCCAGGGGCCACTCCAAGCCGACCTGAGGAGGGGCGCAGCCAGGTTCAGAGCCTCTCCGCCCCACAAGAATCAAAGGAACAAGGGATAATATTCACAGCCCGCGTACACTGATTCACGCCCTTTAGTCCTACAATCTCATTAAATCTTCCCATTCCTATAGAAGTAAATGATGGTATTAAAACCACTTTACAAAGAAACAGAAGCAAAGGAAAATACTCAAGGGCACAGCTGGTAAGGGAAGGAGCCTTATCTCCGCCTCCGCGACCTGCCCGACCCAGATCGACCGGAGCGCGCCGGGCCGCCCCCACTTACCGCCCCGGGCCCCGCGCTCAGCAGCTCCAGCCGGAAGCGCCCGGGCCGCTCGGGGTCCGCGCTCAGCTGCAGCCTCCGCAGCTGCGCCTCGGCGTCTGGCGCGGCGCCCAGCGCCCTCACGGTGGCGTGTACTGCCAGGAGCACCGCGCCCGAGTCCGGCTCCGAGCCTGCCGCCGAACCGCCCGCCGGAGGGGCCATCTCTGGTCCGGCCTATCCCGGCCCTCCGAGCTTGCTTCCGTAGGCCGCGCCGCTGAGCTCCTCAGCCGGCCGGAAACCGGGACCGCGAGCCTGAGGTTCCGGGTGCGGCCGGAGCGGCAGGCAGCCGAGGCTGCTAACCCGCTGGGGTGACTCGCTGGTCTTGCCCAGGTACGGACACGGACATATTCGGCCCGAGCATTGCCGGGACACCGTGCCCGAGGCGGTCACGTTTGAGCTGGGCCTTGAAGCCCGTTTGCCGGCACAAGTGTCACGACCAGAAGGCGCGCGCCGTTTCTGACACCGAGCCGGGCGGACGGAACTGGACCCAGACCAGATATTCAGTGTCTACTCAATCCCCGGTTGCTGCTAGACGCCGCTCTTTGTCCGGCGCTCGGCCTCTCGAGCCCAGAGGCGGAGCTCCGCCAGCCTGCCTCTTCCGCCGCCGGGCGCTCCACCCACAGAACTCTTTGCAAGCGGTCGCGCCAGTAGCGGGTCCGCCGCCAGGGGGAGGAGCGGGCCAGGCCCGACCAATGAGCGCCAGGGAAGAAGGCGGGCTCGCACTTCCGAGCATAGTGACGGACAGGCACAGAAGCCAGTAGGAGTGGAGGAAGCGAGTGAGCGGCGGGTAACTAGCCCAATGGTAATGAGAGCTCTGGGTCCCAGAGGCTGGAGCGGGCCATTCAGAGGCGTGGGGCCGGGCCTTGCGGACGCTTGTTATTGTCCGGCCGAGAGAGGCGGAGGTCGCTCGCTTGCTCGCTCGGTCGCTGTGGCGATCTGTGGCGGTCGGCGGGCAGGTCGGTCGCGGTAGTTGGCGCTGTACAGGGGAGCGTGGCTATGTCGCGGTGGCAGCCCATATGGGCCGAAAAGGCCGGGAGTAACGGGACGTCGTCGCGGAGCTTCTTCCCCCGGATACAGTGCGGCCCAAGTGGAGGCCGCGTCGCCGCCCTCCGGTCCTGAGGCGCCCCCGCTGCCCAGAGCCCGCACCGCTGTCTCTCTGGTACCGACACCAACCGACCCGACCCAGCCCAATCGGACTTAGCCCGGCCCAAACAGGTAGGTGTCCGCCTTGCGTCCGGCTGCTGTCCCCGGGCCCAAACTACAGCGCCCAGCAGGCCTCGCGCCAGTGCGCCTGCTCCTGTCCCGGTCGCACTGTCTCTTGGGATTTGTAGTTCCCCGCTGTCCGGCCGAGGCTCCCCTTGACGGCTTGGGTGTAGCCCCTTTTCGGAGACCTCCTTCGCCCCTGGGAGACCTAAGTAACCAGGAGCACTCGCGGAGAACCGAGGAACATACGGGTTTCTTGCAGCCATAGCCGGAAAGCGGCGAGAAAGAGCGCCACACTCGGGTGACCGCAGGCCGGAAGCCCCAGGTGCCCTGGTACCTAATCGGCTGGGGTTTTTACCCTAGCTAAGGGGTTCTTAAGGAGTTGCGTCTCTTCGTGGACCCAAAGGGATCCTCATGGCGGGTGGGGTACTGCAGAAGTGGCGTCTCTTAGGCCCTTTTGGCATGTGGAGCTCTTTTACCAGAATAAGAAGGAAGTTGTGGAGAGATTCAACTACCACCCACAGGGTGAGCAGGACCCCCAGGGATCCGCCCCAGTCTGGCCCAAAACTCGTGTCAGCCGCATGGGGTGTGATTTTCTTACCACCAGAGTCAGGTAATAGGATCCCGCCTTCTGTCTGGCCAGCATCCAGGGCTTGGGAGCAGATAGGGCGCGAGTAGTGAAGCCTGGGCAGGGGCCAGACCCAGCTTGTTTACAGCATCTCAGCTTACTGGGGCAGGAGGGCGAAGGCGGAGCCCCGGAGCCAGATACCCACGGCCTGGCCTCCTGCACCCTCCCAGCAGCACTAACCCCTGGTGCACGGAGCCCCCCCACACACACCTTGTCCCCAAGGATCATGAAGCTGTTGGAGAATTCCAGCTTCGAGGCCATCAACTCACAGCTGACGGTGGAGACGGGGGATGCCCACATCATTGGCCGGTGAGCTGGGGGCTCTGGGGGCTGGCGTCTCAGGGCTCACTCTGCCCTGGCCCCTGATTCAAGCCAGAGTGGTGACGGGATCCGCAGTCCCGCCTGCAGCCCTGGCCCCTCCCCGCAGGATTGAGAGCTACTCCTGTAAGATGGCGGGAGACGATAAGCATATGTTCAAGCAGTTCTGCCAGGAGGGCCAGCCCCATGTGCTGGAGGCCCTGTCCCCACCCCAGACCTCGGGGCTCAGTCCCAGCAGGTGAGCAGGGTCCCAGCCTTCTCACGTGGGGGGTGGCGAGACTGCCGTGCAGAGCTCAGTGATACTTCTCTGTGCAGGCTAAGCAAGAGCCAGGGTGGCGAGGATGAGGGTCCCCTCAGTGACAAGTGCAGCCGGAAGACTCTTTTCTACTTGATTGCAACGCTCAATGAGTCCTTCCGGCCAGACTATGACTTCAGCAGGGCCCGAAGCCACGAGTTCAGCCGGGAGCCCAGCCTCAGCTGGGTGAGGAGGGGCATGGGACTGATGGCCCCACAAGCAGCCCCTACTATGTTCCCCTCTCTCGTGCCCCCAGGCCCTGCCGGCCTGACAGTGTCCCGCCCTAGGTGGTGAATGCCGTCAACTGTAGCCTGTTCTCGGCTGTGCGGGAGGACTTCAAGGCCTTGAAGCCACAGCTGTGGGATGCAGTGGATGAGGAGATCTGCCTGGCCGAATGTGACATCTACAGGTGGGCTGGGGTCTCTGCAGGGGGGGCCCGGGCCGGCGTGGCACCTGGGACCTCACGCCGCCTCTTGCCCACACTCCCCAGCTACAACCCGGACTTGGACTCGGACCCCTTTGGGGAGGATGGCAGCCTCTGGTCCTTCAACTATTTCTTTTACAACAAGCGGCTCAAACGCATCGTCTTCTTCAGTTGCCGCTCCATCAGGTTGGTGGGGTCCACCGCTCTTGCCAGCTTCCCAAGGGGCCCACAAACTACTTCACCAGTGGTCCTTACCCCAGGCCATCCTCCACAGCCCTCGGGGGCCAACCGTAGGCCTGGGTGGGTGTTCCTAAGACTGGGCCTCCTCCTCCCCCCAGTGGCTCCACCTACACTCGCTCAGAGGCAGGGAACGAGCTGGACATGGAGCTGGGAGAGGTGGAGGAGGAGGAAGAAGAAGAGGAGGAAGAGAGAGGAGGCAGAAACAGCGAGGGTGGGGCTGAGGGGCCCAGTGCCATTGAGGAGGATAGGTATGTGGTGGTGGCCGTGCCGGGTCCATGGAACCTGGGCTGGGGTGTGGGGAGGGAGCCTCCTCTCCAGTGTCCGGGGTGCTGGCTCCTCAGAGACCTCTGTGTGCCCACTTCTGTCCAGGGTCCAGGTGATCTGTATGTGACTTGAGCAGAGAAAGGCCCAGCTTCATCTGGCTTCTCCTGACGACTGGACCTCCCCACCTCAGGGGCCCAAGCACCTTGCTCAGCTGCTGCCACAGCCCTGGCACTGCCCATGGCCAGCCCACTAGCCTTTTGGCTCCAGCCTGTGAATGTCCACTCACCCCCACAGGTCCTGCTGCCCACGCTGTGGCTGGACTGGACAGCATAGTGCCCAGTGGGAAGGGCAACTGCCTCGCCCCAATGGACTGCCACCAGGCAGGGGCAGCTGGACCGCAGAGTTTATTTTTCTATTTCGGTGGGGTGAGGCCTGGTCCTTCACGCTCCAGCCACAGGAATCCACCGCCCAGACCCAGCCACAGGCCTCAGCGGTCATCTTCTCTGGCCTTGGGCGAGCCAGACCTGACGTCCACCTGTTCCCCCCACTTTGCCTGTCAAGGCCACGTGCACTGAGTGTCACTTTGCTGCAGCTCGTTTGTTTCCAATAAAAGTTTCTGTGACTTACTGTTGAC